CTCAGAAACGCGCTAAAAACACCCACGCGGTGACAGGTTAGGACTTGCTTGGTCTGGTAGAGGTTGTTTGTGCCTCTGTGGTCGATATCGTGGCAGAAAGCAGCGGCCACCATGGCGAAGGCATCCAGGTCCGAGTAGTACTTCCGCAGCTTCCCTGTCTGCAGAAGCACGACCGAGTGAGTTGGCATCATTTTAGAGATACACACACACACACACACACACACACGGCGGCGGCGCTACCTGGAGCAGGCAGAACATGGTGTGGCCCACGTTGAAGCCGTGCCGCCAGTTGTGGTAGGTGATGGAGCGGTAGCCCTTTCGCACCGTGTACATCCAGCGGGTCAGCGTCTGAAGGAGGACACAAATCGAGGGCGGCTTCGTTGACTCCTTCCACGCAGACGGCAACGCCAAAGTATCGGCACGGCGCTTCGGGCTCACCTCCGCGGGAACTTTGAACTTCTCCACGACGCCGAGCTCAAAGAACATGCGAATGCCGGCCTTGATGAGGTCGAACTCGGAGACGGGGAAGTCGCTGAAGGCGAACGAGTACAAGTTCTCGCCGTTGACGTTGTCGGCCGTCGGGCACGTCGCTCTCTGCAACGCCAAACGGGACATCGAAGCGGCCAAACTCGGCTGGCGTTCCCATCGTGCAGATCTCGACCGTGCGTCCAAACTACGGCCCTCAAACGAAAAAGCTGGGACGCCCCCGCTTCAGCCATTAAAATGTCCCTCGACAAAACGCACGGCGCCAACGCCCCTGGACAGCCCTTCCGGCAACGACGTCCATCCGGCAGTCTTACCAAGAGTTTGTACATCTCCTTCTGGTCGCAGTCCTCCGGCTCACAACTGAACTTCTCTTTGGTGTTCTGGAGACGGGGTCGAAAGGGACACAAAACAAAAAGTTGAATGCTTCAGGCCTGCGTTGTGGCGGCGCCGGTGCGAGCCCGAGCTCTGACCAGGATGGACTGCAGCTCGTCGGTGGTGCACTTGGTCTGGTACATGAGCATCTCCTGGGCGATGTCTTTCCTGTGCTCCATGTGGTTGAGTTTGTCGTAGGTGTCGCAGTTGAGCACCGACCAGCCCAGGAATTGGGTCAGCGCCTGCGCAGCGCCGCGGGATGTCAAAAAGTCGGCAAAAGAAAAGTCGGCCCTTTTCCGAACTGATGCGCGCACGGTGTGAAATGAGACTGGAAATAAACGACGCCCGGCCATGCTTCAAATGAAGCATCCCGTATCACGACCCCCCCCCCCGATTGGATTCCGACCGACCTCGGTGATCTGCTCGTCGTATTCGTCGAAGGGCTTGCCGTCTTTCCGGTTGAAGAAAGTAGCGATGCCCACGATTTCCTCCTTCTTGTTGACGATGGGCAGGGACAAGACGTTCTTGATGACGAAACCCGTCTCGTCCACCGCTTCTTTCTGGGTTTGGAGCAGACACACCAGCAAAGTTGACGCGACGCAAAAGAACGGACTCGTTGCACTCGCGTGCAATGTTCCATACTGAGTACTCGCCCACATCGAAAACCAATCAAATTGCCAAGGAGGACTTACTCCATGTGAGACATTTCGGGTTTTTTTGCCTTA